GTTTGTGTTTCATTTTATTTCATTTTTCATTTTATTTCTACTTACATTTTTAATATTCCATTTTTTTTAGTTATAAATTATTAAATAAAATGTATATAACGAAGTTTAAGTGGAATTTAAGAAAATAAATTAAGCAATGTTAATAAAATGTAATAATGTTAATAAAATGTTCTATGGTTAGTGTTTCTACTTAACATTTTAGATAATCCATTTTACTTTAGTTATAAATTGTTAATGAAAATGTATATAACAAAGTAGAATTATATATAATTAAGTAGAATTAAAGAAAATAAATTAAGCAATGTTAATAAAATGTAATAAAAATAGCTTTACATTTAATTTTATTTAACTTCTACTTTCTAAAATAAATGTAATGAAAAATATTTGTGATTATTTTTATAAAAATAGCTATGAAGTTTTTAAAAAAGTTGAGAGATAAAAGTATGATATATATTAGTTTTTTTGGTCGACCTTAATAGTGACATTTTCACCATAATAAAATGTAGCAAATTAAAAATGATTATTAAGTCCGTTTTATTTGTTTGCATACTTGTGCCCTCTGAGAGAGATTATGACGTCACTGTGTTGGCATTTGTCACTTGGCGTGACTTGCGCATTAAACGCCATAAATACCTCTAGCGGCTCACCTTCTTATAGCTATCGAGTTTCATTATATCGATAGTATTGCATATATTGTTACAATTCTAAAATGTAATGTGTGTATTAATCGGAGCTAGAGTATGTAATAATAAAAATATATATTACTATTTCAAATACTGAAATATATTTAAATTAGTTTCTTTGCACAAAATACCACAGCGATTCTCAGGGCAGCATACGATAGCATACGATGTGATACGATACGATATTCAGTCGGAAACATCGATACTTTTAAAGCAATATTAGCCAGCGCTAGGGAAGTAGATATCGCTCATCCCTAAATCCGATTCAGTTCATTTTCGGTTTTTGTGCGCATCGGAGTTACCTATATATCAATTTCGAGGCGTTCCGACATAAATTAAAAACTAATTTATAGTAAAAGACGCGCTGCAGTCAACCTATATATATGTATATATGTATGTTAGCTGCAAAAAACGAGCACAAACAACAAGAAGCGGCAACCAAGTGATTACGAATTTGTATGTTTTCATTGAATTGTTTATACACATATAAGAGTTTTTTGTATTTTTTTTTTATTTCATTTGGGTTGTTGTTATTGTGTATCTAGCTGCTGGTGTTGAATTTTTGTTGTTGTGATATTTGCATATTAATGTGCAAAATGTGAGTTTCATGCTAAAATTGCGCGTCCGATTGCCCTTTGTCTCATTCTATTGTTTTAGATGGTTTTTTATTTTATTTATTTTTTTTTTGTTGTGTTTTGGCGAACGCGTCATCATGAAGAAAAAAAATGCCCAAAAATATAAAACGGCACAAATTTTGCGCTCGATTTGGTGCGCTTAATGTGCGTGCGCGTATGAGTGCATGTGTGTGTGTGCTGCTGTTTGTGTGCGAGTGTGATTGATGTAGTAATTGATTAATTGGATGCTACGTCCTGCACATTGTTGCTGTCTAGCAGCTGAAATAAACAAATTTTGTAAAAGCCGCCAAAAGGCGAACGAACGATATCCGCAGTAGTTGAAGCACAAGCAGCGGCGTCAGCGTCAAAGAAAGTGCGGCCTAGCTGCCAGTAGTATGTGTGTATGTGTGTGCGCAAAGTAAAGGCAAAAAAAAAACCAAAACTCAAAGTATTCATGTCTTTATGTGCCGCTGTTGCTGCTGTTGCTTCTGCTGCTGTATAACGGGTGCCGTTCGTCGCATAGCAAAAGTGAAATTTCTACTGAGATTTCTTTATTATTTAAATTTTTGTTGTGCTACTTGCTTGCCATTCTTTGTGCATTGTTGTTCTCCTGTTGTTGTTGTTGTTGTTGTTGTCACTGTCACTGGCAACGCCTCTGCGCTCTGCCATCTAGTGCGTTTGCCATTCAAACATTGTTGCGGGCTTTTTATCAATGCTATCAGCGGAAATATTTTGCCGCACCCCGCTTGACCTTATTCCATGCACATACACACACACACACACACATACACACACTCTCTCTCGCACATACACACACACAGTCCCACATTGCGCTCTCTTTTAATGCAGCAGCGCAGTCCACCCATTGGCCTGTTGAAGTCCTCCCTGTCTATCACCCGCATTAATGTGCGTTTTTGGTGTTCTCTGTGTCTAGCTGAAGTTGACTCATTCTCTCCCAACGCGCATTCCACATTCACATTACATTCATACTTTAGCTTCGTGAGCAATTTACACACACACACACACAGACTCTTTGTGTCTATCTCTCTCGTGCTCACACGCGGTCCACCCACTTACTCTCCATTAAGCTCTTGGTATTTCGAGCGCAGCTTATTGCAACTCTTGCAGCTCTCTCCCCACGACACAACGTGCTGCGTTATTTCTTCTGTTCTGCTCTATCAATCAGCAGCAAATTGCAGATCGTATGTGAGCATTCGCTATTTATGTATGCGTATGCGTATAATTGCGCATGTGTGTGTGTGAGTGTATTTGTCACCTCCTCCTCCCACATTATTTATGATTCTTTTTGCAAAAACGTGACTTCAATTCAATTTGGTATTTTTTGACATTTGTAATCTCAGCTTAGCGCGGAATCACTAAATTTGATTCACTCTGGTTTGTACACGATTCAAAATATTTTATGTGGAATTAGAATTTTTTTTTAAACTTCCGTCAAGTACTTACGTGGAAAAGAAAAACTTTTATTTGAAAGAATCTGTAAAATGTGAAAAAAGCAATAAGATACTGTTTCTTTCTTAGAAAAATATTACTATTTGTCTATTCCATTTCATTTGATAAGAAATTTAAGCCAAATTAGTAATTTTCTATTAACACCTCATCAATCAGAAATTGCATAAATTTATATCTTTGTCATACATTTCAAATGCGAATTAAAAAACAAACTTATCACTTGTATAAACTACATAGTACAAAAAAAGTTAATCCATTAAGCATTCCTATCAGTTCTTATCAATAGACAAAACTATTTACTTCCTTTGCCTTTGAAAACAACCCCGAGAGGAAAAACGTTGAAAACAAGTTCAAGTACACTCATTGCATTTTGTTACGAAAAATATGACTTTCGTCGCCTTATCTTAAAAATGTCACAGTACGATTCATGGATCTAATTGAGGGTATTATTTGTGGAACAATTTCGTTGCTCAATGCAAGGGAAATAATTAGCGGTGTGAGGCAACATGAGTAACATGAGTCGCATGTCGCTTAGGTGGTCATATCAATATACCTTAGTATATATTGCTAATATGTGTATCATATTTCTAGTAAATTAGTCTTACTATATTTATTCTGTGGCGGCGTTAGTAAACAATAAACGCGCATTGTTTAGGAACATTTAATAGTTATTGAACCTAATTCAATAATTGCCAGCATTACTATGTTTCTGGATATACAATTATGGACTGCATAAGACAAATAAGTAATATTAGTATTGCAAATAATGAATTCCTCTAAAAATGAAAATGGTTTAAATGATATTTTATGATTATTGAACGACTAAATCGTAGCTTAGTAGTGCATCTTCATATTCCTCTTCAATTTTAGCCATTTGAAAAACTTTTAAGTGATGAATTTTGGGATTAATGATTGTGCAGCATCATTAGTCTGTGATTTTTGACTAAGTATTTGATATTTTGATATATGTAGGCGCAAATCGATGATTAGTCAAAACATGGCGAAGCAAAACAGCTGCCAAAAATTAACTAAAGTGATCGTAACTGGGGGAGTTGACTCAAATCGAAATTGAAACTCAACATTCACAATACTTTTGGAGCAGAACTCATATATAGACATTCTAGTTTTTCCAACTCTTCTTGACTTTAAGAGTCATCAAGTTTGTATAGATACGAGGTCTGTATAACTAACATCAGATTTGTTTATCATATAGCAAATATATAGCATGATATACATATTTTATATGGTCATATATCACATATCTTCGCATAGAGAAACAATCATTTGATGTTTATACATAATTTAAGCACACATAGGGAATACATCCAAGAGAATATTTCAGATTCGTTGGCTTCTTGCTCTCTAAATCTTAACTAATTGATTGCTTCATGGAATTGTTTTGAAGTAAATCTCGTATGCATTAGGGAAAACTAAAAAGAGTTTCGTTTTATTGCTTTCGTTTTTCGATAAAATTCATATCTTTGATTCGTGCTGCTCACCTTGCTGCAAATTCCTGATGTGGCGTCATGTGATAAGTGYTAATTTTTTGCACTCGTTTTTTCCTTTTGCTTAATTTTTGTCATTTTTTTCTTTTTTTTTTTTTTCTTGTCGAGTTTCTAAACTCGATGCTAACTACAACAATTGAAGAACTTGTTTTTGTTGTTGCTCTTTTTCGCATCTATTGTGAGTGGCGCACAATCGTGTGAATGAATGTAAATGCTGAAATCAACAATAATGATAATTATAATAACGATGCATGACACAATTCTCCTAACTCTGATTTTCTTCGTCTTTATGTTTGCTTGTTTTCATTCTAAGTAAGCTACACTATATCTTAATCTTTATTGTCGCTTCGTTCTGGTTCTTTGTTTTGTCAAATGACTCCAAAGTTGTCTCGGCGTCTTCTTCTTCTTCTTCTGCGTTTTATAACCTCTCTCATTTACCAGCACTAGCCTAATTTATAGCCATCAAGCGGCGATTTGTGCCAATTTCTAACGTGGCCCTACGAATCGAGTCGAGCCCATTAAACTAAAAAGAAACTTCAGATACAAAGTAAAAAAAAACCATCTTTACCGTAAACTTTGTCGACTTCCTAAAACGGTAAAGCTAGACTATAGGTCTACTTGTTGACTAACTTATGATTAGTTGGACAAAAAGAGAAACATCTGTGATTTTGTACCTAAAAAATTACTTTGGGAAATAGCCTAGAAGCTCCTAAAAAATATGAGAAAAACTTGCGCATATCTTTATAATAATGAGCAAAAAACAAGCAATCCAAATGAGTTTAATATTCTAGATCGTTTGTTATATAATCGTCGGACAAGAACAGCTCTATCTCTTAATGAGCTTAGATATGTGTCGACTCTGTGTTGAATATATATAAAATAAATCCACATAGAGATAAAGCAGACTGCATCATATGCGAGGTCGTCTATCAACGTGATGTTATGATCCATTTGCTAATTTTGCGACTTTATTCTTTGCCTTAGATAGATAGAAAGGTATAAAAGAGAAGAGTTTGGTTTTCTTTAATGCTTCTTTTTCTCTCTCCCTTATCCTTATCCTTATCTGTAGATGAAATTCTATATGTCTCTCGTGATCTGTATGYATATATCTCTTAATATTCATGTTAATCAGTCTCGAGATCATTCGAAATCTGTCTCAGTCTTTATCTCTATATCTAATTCTCTCGATCCTATGTATATCTATTTCTACCTTTATCTCTTTGTTCCTCTTTGTCTTTCTATCCATTTCCATCTCTTCTTCTCTCTCTCTCCTTCCCTTACGCTCACACTCTTATCTTCATTCTTCATCTTCTTCTTAAGAGATCTGTAACAGTTTATCAAAATAGCGCTTCAGTTTCTTGATTTTCAAATCCATTTCAAATGCGCCGAACATGGTGGCAAGAAAGTTTGTACATACACATGTTCACATACACACACATTTACACATATTTCCATATACATGAGCTTGCATATCTCTTTGGAGATCTTAACTATTCGTTGCACATTAGTTTTTATTGTGCTACGCTCTCAGCTGCTGTTGCTGCTGTTGTTGCCTTGCTTTTAATTACAGTTTCCCCCTTTTAGTTAGCTTGGTTACTCTGGCAACACTTCCCACGCCTTGATTGTGTGCGTGTAGTGTGAAATTCGCGTTATCTTTTGGAGCGAATTCAACTTGTTTGTCCCCTCAGTAACAAAACGCAGCTTCGTACCGTTCGCCGCTTTGCCTTGAACTTGGCCAAACATGTGCGTAGAAAGTTGGGCTACATCGAGAGCCATATTCGCCGTCTAGAGCTTTGGCTGACAGTGCGCAGCTATAAATAGCGACAATGATGCAAAAGCAAAAAAATGATGAGCCAAACAGCGACTG